TAGGATGGGGGGCAGGATTACAAGATAGAAACCTTAACCAATACGGTATCGGTTTCCTAGATCAGGACTTTAGGCCGTTCCGTAATATACAAGGAAACGTAACACCCAAGTCATGATCTGTTACATATTACATATATATAAGTTATCCCCTATAACTAGTCGGATAACCATGCCGTGTGGGTATGGGGTACCCATAATCTCCACAGCATTGTTTTCAAATTACTTATTGTTCCGTGTATATCTTAAGTCAAACATATTTTTCTTTGATTATTACTTTTTAGAAATCTATGTAGTTTAATAACATGTGAAGTATATAATAAAAAAATGTAATTCTTATAAAATTAAACTATATGAGCTTATGAAGATTGATGGTCAAAGATTAAAATATTTAATTTAGAACAAACCTAGAACGACAAGTAATTTGTAACAAATGGAGTACTATATCTATTTTATATTGTAGACGTTATCACATTTTTTATAAATTTAATCAAACTTAAACAAAGTTAACTTATAAACCAAAATAACTTATACTCTCCCGTCTCAAAATAAATTTAATTCTAAATACGAATCTTTAGGATTGGATTTATTTTGGGACTGAGGGAGTATATAATATGGGGCAGGGAGGGAGTACATGTTTCTAATCCAAACTCCCCCACGTCCTAATCACAAATTTTATTACACAAAACAACAAGTGGCCTCTGCAACCGCCCTCTTACGTCCAGACTCATTAGGACCCCTTCTGAATAAAATGCAATCATAACTCGCGCGCGACCACGAAAAGGAAAAAAAAAAAGATGACTTTTGAGGCCACAGCATGAAGGAAAAAAAAAAGAGCATACAAATTTGTGGACTAGTTTGGTGTCAACGGTGCTCTTGATCAATTCCAATAAGTGAGTGACGAGGAACGATTTGTCTCTCTTTTTATCAGTTTTGCATGACTAAATTAAAGAGTATGAATGAAGATGAGATCGGCCATCGTCAGATGTTGACATTTGCTCACATCACACTTAGCTCAGCCCAACTCATGCCCATGGACAAGCAAATTGCCTGTCAGATCATCATCTAACTATCTAAAGCACTACTATACGCCAGTGAATTATTAATACAGTACAGTGATTCATACTTAGAGAGTGATACTAGCTTAACTCCCGTATAAGAAATACATCACCGGTCAAAGAGCTTGCTTCTTGATGTGTTCCTTGATCTTAGCCCCAACGGATCATGTGCACACATGCCTGCGTGTCAAATCCATAGAGTGGTTTATAGGCTATCTCCGACGCCCAATCTTGTATTATTCTGCACCTCATCAGTGCGTCGCCCATTATCGGTAGGAGGAATGAACTGATTTTAGCGTGATTCATCCCACTACACACCAATCAGGGATGCTATACCTGTCGCTTTTCCGCACCCCGAAACTGCACGCTGTGAGATCAATATGGATTGTTGAGCTGAAAGGTCTCATAAAGGTTTCTCCAAAGCTTGTGGCTGCTCTTTGTTATATGAGGTCGCAAAGGTTTCCAAACCAGCACGTAGCAGGGAGAGGGAAAGATGATGTGCAAAAGGCTTAAGAATCATTCATGGCTGCAGAAATCACCATCTGCAGAATTTTCAAGCTCGGTGAGATCACCTGAGAAAATCTTAGGCTGGCTACTTACAGAAACATGGAACATATGAACACTTGGCCCTGCTGGCTGGAGCTTTACAACTCTCTTTCAGCTTTTTTTTCGAACGACTCGCACGAAACGGTGCGAAGTTCTATGGATAAAACAAAAAAAATCATAAGATTACAACTCTGAAGGGTCGTAGCTAGGAAAAAACGAAAAAAAATTACACCACCAATCAACTTGTATTTTCCAATGTGGTGTAATTTTACAACTCTCTTTCAGCGTTCAGTTCTCACTATATGTATTTACCAATCAACTTGTCTGATCTGTGCAGTTGGGATGGAGGGATCATGTCTTATAGAAATGACGCATACCTGCGTCCGTTCCACCGGGCACCTAACAGCATCTTTGATTCTTGATATGTTTCTGAATTCTGAGCGACTGACACCTAGTAGTAGAAGTATAATTCTCATTTACTCCAGAAAAAGCGTTCTGTGATGTCTGAACACTTGTGGCGGCAGCTATGTTCCTCCGTGCCACATCACGTAAGATGTAGATCGCACAGGTGAAGTGTCATCTTCAGCTAAAGCCTTCGGTGTGTATTGAGCGTGTCGCTGACAGCGATTCTAAAAATCACAAGCAGAGATTATGATGGGAATACACATTAAAAGATTGTACTTTGTAGTTTACACACCAATTGATGTAATCTATAAGGACTAAGACCGTCCCCCTCTACCAATTTGTAGCTTGTTAAGGGCAATAGCAATGCGTTTTGCATTTTGCTCGTCCTGAACTGACAAGTAGGATGAAGACCTTCAAAAGACACAAGAGTCACATAGCGAAATCCATGCAGAGCAAAGGCGAGGCAAAGCCCCACGCACTGCAATTGCCTTGATATCATCAAAGACCGAGTGGCAGGTTTTGGTCACAGGTTCACAGGTTCTCTTCATTTCGGTGGGCCATCAAGAAATGTGGCATGGAATCTTAAGTGCTGGCGGACGTGGAGGACTCAGGCTGAATGCCAGCTCCTTGCATTGTGAACGGCCTTACTTGTAAATTTGGAAGGAATGGAATTAGGGCCGTGTTTAGATCCAAAGTTTTTCTTCAAACTTCCAACTTTTCTATCACATCAAAACTTTTCTACACACAAACTTCCAACTTTTCCGTCACATCGTTCCAATTTCAACCAAACTTCTAATTTTGACATGAACTAAACACAGCCTAAGAAATGTTGCGGAAGCTTTTGACGATGCGATGTGAGGACGGCGAGGGCGTACGGACGAAGGCGCGCATCACGTGGCCCTCGCCGGAGGCGGAAGCCCGGCCGCAGGAGGGGCGGCGCTGCGTCATCAGGGGGCTGATGGATGATGGGCTGTGTGGCGGGATTCGGCGGCGCAGCTCCGACGGCTAAAACCCACGCGGTGGTGGCTTGATCAAGGTAGGCCCATATCGCTAGCAGTAATCGCGATCCATGACAAATTGCATCGAGGAATATATTTTGGGCCCGGCTTTATTTTGGATCTGGAAACTAACGCATGATGGAAACCTAACAAATTTCTTAGCCTGGCTTTTCATGATGGAAAAGTCTATTTTAGCTCCCTCGAGTATACCTCCAATCTAATTCGTGCCCCTAAACACAATATCGTATATCTTGCGGTTTGAAGAGTGGTTTGACAAACTATCGAAACCGTTGTGGTTTGACTCCCTCAGCAGTTTGAAGAGTGGTTTTCATTGACGTGACTTATTGACTAGGTCTAATTGATTGAGTCAGCATGTGAGGCCCACATGTTAGTGTCACCGGCTCTTTCTTCTCCTCTCATCCTTTTATGTTCCTTTGTCCTCTTTTCCTTTCCCCACATGGGCACATAGCGATGACGCCGACGAGCTCGATTGGGGAATGGTGGTTGACGGCTTTGGCGGGCCAGGAGCGAAGGAGAAGGCATGGTAGAAGGAAGGGGAGCGGCCCCTAGCATAGCCTTCCGACCACGTCGGGGTTCCGTCGCCGCCATCGCTCTCTCCCCATGAGCCTCTATGCTGCCTTCTCCTCCAGCATTGGTAGTATCATCTGTGGCTACAGCCGTGACCTGCTGGCTGCCACCCTATGCGACGATGATGCAGTCTCATGCTCGCGGGGGCCCATCCCTTCTCCAATGGATTTTGCAATCAAGCTCGCAGAAAAGCATCTTCCTCTTTGCGCTGCCCCACCGCTTTACCTCCCCTTCGACAATACCGGCCCTGTTGCAACCACTAGCCTCGGGTCCCTCCCTTGCTCGATCCATCTCCGACTCATGGGCCTTATCACTTACCATAGCAGAGAGAGGAAGAGGAGGAAGAAAGAGATGTGGGCGGCTTCTGAGAGGAGGCTGCTGGGCTACAGGCTAGTGACTGCAGTGGAAACCGACGTGAAGGGAGGTCAATCAGCCTCGGCCCCCATCGCCGGCCCCTCCTAGATATGGGATACGGTGGGCCCCTCCATCCTGCACACTTATATCAGAAAGATGTTGCATGGGCTTGCCAAGCTCTGGATGCGTGACTGACCACAAAATTTATCACAGGTTCGTTAGTTACCGCTGCTTTTGTGGAGTCCAGCTATCGTAGTAGAGATGACGACATGCCAAAGTGGTGTGGGCGCATTAGGCGGGACTGGGCCATCACCGATTCCCCATCCACCTCTTTGCCATCAACAACTACCTTCGTAAAAGGAGAAGAGAGAGATGGGGGAGAGAGGAAGGAGGAAGACAGAGGAGAATAGTGAGGATGACATGTGGGCTCCATATAGTATTCTCAATTTTCTTGTTGACTCGGTGTTTTTGACTGTGGTCAATATGCCATGTCAACCAATATTATTCTCAATATTGTCGTAGGAGTAATTTTCTACTGGTTTTAATAGTTGAAATAGCTGTTACACTCGATTTTACAATTGATGATACATGAATTAGATTCGATCTTTATTTGAGAGAGTTAAAAGTGGACTTTTCCCTTTCACGATATCATGCGAAGGTATTCGTTTGGTCGGTTGGAAATCCTTTGGGACGTAAACCAAACTAAAATTTAGAAAGGTATATCATGTTGTCAAGTAAGATTTCAGAAATAAAAGAACAAAAAGGAATACATGAATGCCAGTGAAAAACAGAGAACTTGGAAAATAAAGGAAAATTTCTTGTACTTTGAACAATGATAGAAACACATCACATCCTACAATTGGGAAGTCGCTAGCACGCGAGATTTGCACGGGCACATGAAGATTGTTACTGTTCTCGACTTCGCCGTCTCGCAAAATCCATCACGCCGCGTCGCGGTCACACGGCTCACGGAACAGTGGGCCACCTCGCCCGGCCCAACCCCAGCTAATCGCGATCAAACGTCCCCATCTCATCTCATCCACATTCACGGCATCGCCACCTTGCCCACGTACCAGGGCCCCACCTGTCAGCCGGACATCCTCGCGCTCGCAAAACCGCCCCCCGGAAACCGGCGACTCCACCGCCCGCCAACCCAGTCTTGGACCGAGCTGAGCCGCCATGGCGACGACGCGGCCGGCGCGCAGCGACCCGCACCTGCCGCCGGAGGAGGCGGCGCGGGTGGAGGCCGAGGTGCGGGGCTACTTCGACAGCATGGCCCCCAGGCGCCCTTCCAAGCCGCCGCGGAGCGACCCGTCGGACGCCGGGGAGGGTGGGGCGGAGGCCGACGCCGACGCCGACCTGCCGGAGCTTCGGAGGCTCCGCGACCTCGAGGCCAAACCCCAGGTTGGCGATCTGTTCGTCCTTGTGGAATTCTGGTTTTGTTAATTTGTTGCTGCTGAATCGATCGATGTGAGCGTGCTGTTTGGTACTAATTGGTACTGACTGTTGCTGTAGAAGTTGGTGCTGGACGGTGGGGATGTGAACGGGGAGGAGTATGTGGAGACGCAATACTACAACGGGCTCAATTGCATCGACAAGCAACACCACACGGTAAGCTTTGTAGTATTGTTGTGCCTAACTGCCTATGAAGCCTACCAAGCACCAAATTTATAGCACGTAGATGTGGGTATGTGGGCATATACTAGTTCTTTAGAGAAATTTGATATACCAGTAAAGAATTTGTTAGTAATATTTTTCAGGACCTTTTTGTTTTATGAGATCAAATACCTGTCGATAAATAACATGTTACCTAGTCTTCAATTGAATGGCTAGAATTTTCCGAGAAGACGCATGTTAGTCATAAATTCGTTAGAGAAGAAAGTTTGTTTGCACGAGAACCTTAAAAAAGACTTGAGCACCATAGCATTTCCCTTGAAATACTATCAAATAATGTTATAACTGGCTGCAAGCCTGCAACGAACCGTCATTGCAACCAAAGTGCTCAAATAAGCTGTATATCTGTCGATTCTGGTTCCCAGTGCGATTCCGGAACACTGGCCTTCTTGCACAAGCATTTCTCTTAATAGACTCTGCTGTCTAGTCGAATGCATACACAAATCTGGAGTCTTTAGTCTGTCATGAAAATTAAGTATAGTGTAGTCTTCCCCTCTCAAAACAACTTACATGCTAACCATTACATACCTAAACTCATTGCCGTGCATTTTGTTGCCACTTGCCAGTAATATCTTGTGCATTTCCGAAGCCTCTTGTATCTAGCTAGCAGTTCATTGCTCACTCCGGTACTGGCATGGAAAACATAAATATAGTTTAGGCCCTGCAAAGAGAACTAATGGTTGATGATTGTTAGGAATTCCAAAGTTCTGATGTGGAGTTCTTGTGTCACATGTGATGGCTCATATCATTCAGATCAGGGGCACTAACATGTGTACCTTATATCCTCGCAAAAAAAAAAAAACATGTGTACCTTATATAGAATACATTTCCATGAACAACAGATTATCGATTCTAATTTCACCACCATGCGCATTCTGTAACAAAACGACAATACTCTATGAAATGGTTGAGTTAATTGTTATCTTTACAGACTGGTACAGGGTTTATCAAAGTGGAAAGACCCAATGGTAGCTCCTTCAACGTGACAACCGTTGCCTACTCATCTGACAGCATTATCCGCTGCATGAGCAACCCTGCAACAAATGATTGGATACCATCCTCAGAGACGGTATGGCAGTAAAAATGTATGTGGACTAGCCAATACCGAGTTGCATATGGTCATCTGGTGACTTACTAATCTACTGTGTTCCTTTTCCAGGTTATTCCAGTTTCAAACAAGCCTAGCAGGAGTGACTCCTGAGTCCTGACCGGGTTCCCTTCTGCTGTATGAATCTTTTTATAAATCATCTGAAGAGAATAAAGAGCACATAGAGCAGCCACTTCTGTATATCGGAGGAACTCAGAGAAAGGTAGAGAAATGAAAGCGCTGCAACTGCAAGGTTTATAAGGCATGAATCTGTCCTGCTCTTCATCGTGTTTTATGTGAACTTGTCGTATGCAACTTCACTGTTCATACTCAAAACTCAGTATCATGAATGATTGGTGTAACCGTGTAAGTGGATAGAGTACCAGTTCTGTCAGTTTTTTCTCTTTGCTGTAAGGATATTTTCCGTGTGTCTATGGAAAATGGGTCATTGCCAGATAAAAAGTTCTGTCAGCTTATGGTCATTCTGATTTCGAGCTAGGAAATACCAAGAGGATATGGGATGATCCGGTGAATAGCCAAACGTGTACAGGCCAAATTTTAGCTGGGCCGGACGAAGGATTGGCCTACATAGCCCAAAGCGAAGAATCCCACTCAATCCACCGGCCCACGTTTCTCACCCGAGAGCAACGGACGCACGCGCCCCCCACCACACATACCACATCCACGGCCGAAAAGTTGCATTCGCAGCCATGGATTTGCGCGACGCCGCCGACGCCGCGCAGTCGGCTGCTCGCCTCTTCGGGTCTTCCATCGCGGCGCCACCGGCGGCGAGCCAGCATCCCCCCCGCGCGCGCGCGCGCGCCATGGGGGTACCGCCGCTCCATGCCCCTCCCCGGCGCTTCCTTCCGCGCGCGTGGCTCGGTAATTTCGTCGAACACCTGAACCGCGTATGAGCGGCTCCACCCCTTTTTCCTGTATTAACGATTTGCTTCCTCAAAAGTAACCGCGGTTGCACTCAATTTTACACCAAAAATGGCAGTCAATCAATCAATTTCAATCAACATCTGTTTATTGGTTTCCTGGCTCAGCCATAGGACTAGGAGAGAAACAATGGTGGAAGTACTACACTTCGAGATTTTACACGAGGGGTAATGTCATCATCTCAGTCAAAAATTAGGTCGCCTGTGGCGTAGGTGTTGTAGAAGACGGTGGCGCTGAAGTAAAGCACCGCCGTGAGGGTGAGGAAGGCCTGGAAGGATCCTAGCCACTGCACGAAGTAGCCTGTTCCTATGGTGCTAACTATGGCGGCCACTGTCCCGATGCCGTTCGTCAGTCCTGTTCAAGCAGAAGAAGATATGTCAGATTTCAGGATCCAAGGAGTGCGTTCATTTGGTGTGGGTCTTGTGTACAGCTGATCGAGTTTGTGGACTCACCGTGCAGAGATCCAGCGTATTTGGGAGCAATGTCCTGCTCGAACAATCAAGAAGAACACATTCCGTCAGATAGGGTACAATTGCAATTGAGGTGGTGAACAAGAAGAAAAAAAAAGGTTGTTCGAGTTAAGGCGGAATCTGGTATGAGCAGGGTAATGCAGGAAACACTACCTGTACATTACAGAAGTATCCAGCTTGACTGAAGGAACTCAAGCTCAGGGCGATGGTCATGAGGACTGCTGCAACTGATGGCGTCTGGGCAAATCTTAAGCAAAGCAGTGAAACGCCTGGCCCGATAAAACCGATGGACTGTACCAAGCATGAATAGAGAACAAAATTGTGGTAAGTTTTATGTTTCTGGCTGTGCTAAGCTATCAGTAACTTCCAAGTGCTGCACAAGTCTAATTTCAGGTGTTGCTGTTACCTGCATAATCTTCCGAACTAATGCAACAGAGAAACCAGATTTGATCAGGAAATCTGCAGAAGCTCCTGCGACGTAACCAGACAGAGCCATGACTGCCCAAGGTATGGCACTGAACCATGCTGCTTGTTTTAAGTTGACATTATAAACCTGTTGTAGGATAGCAGTCAGGAATTAGCTTAATAGCAGCGTTGTCACAGTGACCAATTTGAACACCTTAGACAACATACCGTTTTAAAGTAGACAGGCATCCATGATAGTAGTACAAAATAGCCCTGCATAGTATTTCGAACTCACGGAAGTTAAAATTTAGATAGATATGTCAACACCAATTTGTAGATAACTGATTTATCAATCTTACCCAGTTGTTGACCACATTAGCTACAATGATGGCCCACATTTCGATCTTCGACAGAATTTCTCGTAAGGATGGGAATTTGCTACCCTGAATTTTTGATGCACTTCTTCCGGCTAGGATTAATTGCAGCTCAGATTTGCTTATTGTACGACTGTCAAGAGGGTCACTTTCAACATTGAACAACCATACAGAAAGCCACAAGTAACCAAGTGATGCAAAGAAGGCAAATGTCCCGGCGAGGCCTATATGTGACATGATGATCGGTGTTGCTAAGAAACTTATGACATTTCCAAGATGGAATCCTCCCATAGAAATGCCAACAGCAGTAGCACGTTCATGTGTTGGGAACCACCTGTTTTGTGTTCAAAGTGAGATTGAAAGCCCGAAATGAGATTGTGTTTGATTGCATCAATAAATTCTTGTCCAGAATCTCTAATCTCTAACAACTAGAATTGGCATCACAGAAAATAATATAGAGCAACTTACTTTGGTAAGAAAGTGCTCATTGTTGGAAATGCAACACCTTCCGCAAGGCCAAAGAGAGCACGTATGGCAAGCAACATAATTGTGGATTGAGAAGCAGCCCATGGAGTGAGGAAAGTGGCCAAGGACCAGAGGGCAGCAGCACCTGCCATCACCTTCTTCCCTCCATATCGGTCTGCCAAAGCTCCCCCAACCATGGATGAGAAAACATATCCCCAAAGAAAAGATGACTGTACAGGTGATGAGAAGATTAACCTCAAGTCAATCCATCTGGAAATCATTAATCACGCATGACATAATAATAAAAGAGCAAGCTGTGTTTGTTCTGGCCTAGTTAGTTATGCACATTGACAATTTCATATAGAACCGGTAGTGTTACGGCATATTGGTTTTTACGATGACTTCTTTATGTGAACCTCCATCTAGTCAAGACATATTGTTGCCCAAGTGTATATACAATAAGCATGCACAAATTCTTTTGCCGTTCTTTATTTGAGGGAAACAATTTTTTGTTATCGAATGACTTCAAATGTTGCAATGGTATTTAAGCTAGCTGGTAATTTGTTATGAAACATTCATGTTCTGTCACCAAGTAAATCTGAAGTGCTGAACTCCATCACCAAAAAAGAGGGGCAATGCTTAACTCAGTTGGGTTGCATGTTTTAGTATTCCAGTTATCAAATTCCAATATTGCCACTATGAGGAGATATTGGTATTCGATACCACCTCAAGTTGCTCCCTGACCTTTATGCCTGCACAGATTGGTTTCTTCCAAATTGGTACCCTACACTATCTATGTGGAAGCCACTAAAGCTAAGCATATATCTTATAAATAGAAAACTGCATCACGATTCATGTGTGAAGCACATAGCAAATTTCATTTCAGGTTCCACTCTCAAAACAATCGTATTAAGATAACTTGGTTGCTACACGGTTGCACTGGACCTGCACACAGAAAGGAGCTAATACCCTGGACTGCCATAATTGTCTGTTTGTGCTACTAATTGTAATGTTCCGGTCATTCTCTTGTCGCGATTGTGACGTTGATGCTTCGTTGACTTTGTTGCTATATGATGAACTAATTATGGTTTTGGACATTTTGTTGCTAGTGACAGAGCAGAGATTCTTGCCTAAGGTTCGATGAATTGGAACCTGTGCGATGTGCTACTAATAGTGAAGTGAAGTGAAAGAGATGGCATGAACTGGGAAGGTAAAGAAGACCCCGAACCGAGTACCTGGACGATGCCCAAGAAGGAGCTGGACCAGCCGTACTGCGCGGCGAACGGGACGACGGCGACGGACATGACGACCCGGTCGGCGTTGCAGAGCAGCATCACGGCCGCCACCAGCGCCACCACCTTGGCCCGCTCCGGCAACGCCGACGCCGACGCCGCCGGCACGCTGGCCACGGCGGCGGCGCCGTGCCGGACCCCCTCCATGCCGGCGCTGCACATGGCGGCGACGGCCCGCTCCCGCTGCCCGCCCCTCCTCCCCCACCAACCATCGCCAACCGAACCAACGACACCGCTGCCCCTGCCGCTGCTACTGGCGCACCCGGCATCCCTGCACCCATCACCACCACCTGCGGCCAAGGACGAGGAAGACGAAGAGCAAGATATCCTCAGGCCTTTTGGGTCCAACCCGGCCGCCCCGACCCTCGCGGATTTGTACTTGACCGGGGTCACCGCCGCCGCCGGGTTCACCGACACGCACGACCTGATTGACGCCATGGGGCCCCCCCCCCCCCCCCCCCCCGCGCCCCGGCGAGACAAACCCGATCCACCAACCAACCAATGGCCAGCAACTCGGTAGCGAGAGGCGAGGGGGATCAGAGGCGGCGGCCCATGGCAATGGGAAAGAGAGCTAACCAATCGACCATGTGCGTGCGTGCGTGTGATCGCCCGGTGGATGGGTTGGTATAAATTAGGACTCGGCGAGGACGAACGACGACGGTGAGGAGCTGGACCGTGGGGGGAAGGTGGTGGCGGTAGGTGGCGGATGAGAGAGCAGCGAGCCACAGCCCAGCCAGCTACGGGGAGAAAGTGAGGTTGGTTCGTCAAGTGTAAGCAAGTAAGCGTAGCACGAGTAGATTTAAAACGAGGGCTCGTGTTGGTGGGATTTGGAAAGGGTCAAGGATTGCGGGGACGCGCGATCGGTAGCCGAGCCGCGCCGAGTCGCGCCACCTACCTCGCGCGGCCGAGGCCGAACGAAGAGCGAGCGAGCGAGCGAGACCGCCGTCTCGTTCGTTCGGCGTGACCGTGGTGAGAAACTGAGAATGTAAGACCGGCCAGGTGGTGGACTGGTCTTTGTTAGTCTTACCTACGTTTCTGAGTGGGGAGGTCAGGAGGAGGTGGCGGACTGGCCGAGTGCAGCCGGTGATACACGCGCGCGCACCCTTGTCGTGTGCGACCAGCAGCGCGCCGGGGGGCTGCTTGGTGTGGACTCTGGAGTTGTGACCGCCGCCCAGTCCTCCTTCATTCAGGGTGTGTTCGCAGACGCTGGTTTCCAACCGGCTACGGTACATACGGAAAATAGCGCGATTCATTAATTAATACGTGATTAATTAAGTATTAGCTACTTTTTTTAAAAAATGAATTAATTTATTTTTTTAAAGCAACTTTCGTATATAAACTTTTTTAAAAAATACACCGTTTAGTAGTTTGAAAAGCGTGCGCACGAAAAATAAGGGAGGGAGGGTTGGAAAAAGGGACATCCGAACACAGTCAAATTGCCTTTAGACAAGACAGGGTACTTCCTTCGTCTCATAGAAAAATCAATATCCAGCCATAAATTTTTAGATGTAACCAAAGACAAAGACAGTTACTTCCTCTGTCTCATAAAAAATCAATATCTAGCCATAAATTTTTAGATATAACCAAGACAAGACATGTACTTCCCCGTGTTATAAAAAATCAACATCTAGCCATAAATTTAGATGTAACCTATGTCTAAATTCATAGCCGGAATTTACTTTTTTTTTATGAGACTAAGAAAATATATAAAAAGATAAATATTCCCTCTATAAACGTATGATGGTGTCGATTTTACCCTTCGTTTTATTAAAAGTTACATAAATATTATTTATTATGTTGTGACTTGATTTATTATTGAAGAAACTATTATCTTAAGTCATACTTTATACTACATTTTTAAATATGATATATGATGATTAAACGTTATAGAAACAAAAATCAACGATTATAAGGACGGAGAGAATATAGATTGGCATCTTGTTGGTCTGCCACCGCGATCATGTCGCAGTGCAAAGTTGCAAACAGATCTTGCTACCTCCGATGCCGGTCTAAAGCGTTTGTTCTTTTTGGCATTTTCTGTTTCTGGCGTACTACTCTAATTCTGTGGAGTCTGTACACGTCTCACATGAATCTATTTCATAAGGATATTGGGATTACATGGCAAATTTCACGCTCAGGTAAGATCACGTTTTATATTATAATGCAAAAAGAAGTTCAACGATTAGGGCATGACTTTCAAGTATGTTCGTATTTCGTAACCTCGGGGTTTGTCATATACTCCTATATTGTTTATATTGTTTTAGATACTCTCTCTATGTATAAATATAAGCACTTTTAGAATAATAATAATACAAATATTTTTAACTTTACCTATTGAAAGAAAAAAAATCATAACAACCAATGACATAGAAATGATGTTGATAGATTTATCGTTAAACAAACTATCATAATATGCTGATATTATTTTATTTGAAATAATTCAATTTTACATTTAGTCATGGTCAAAGGAGTGTATGGAAGACCATATTAGTAGCATATCTAAAATAGTGAAAACAGCGAGCTTTCTTATAAATTAGGCAAATTTTGCTACAGAACATCACAATTTTGTGGTTTAAGCTCAGGGACACCGTGAAAGTGAAGTTTTGAGGGAAGACATCCCATAATCGTGGATATTTGCTGATGGACACTGTATCGTCTAAAGGATACTTGTTGTGCTGACGTGGCGGACGGAAGTCCAGTTTTTGACGTGGTCGGATGTAAATACCCTTATGCCACGTCAGAAAAAAAAAAGTCCTCTCGTCAGGCCACTCCCCACCGCCGCCAACTACCTCTTTCACCTCTCCGCCGCCGCGCCAAGCCGTCGCCACGCTTGGCCGCTGCCGCCACGCGCGGCCACATCTCCCGCGCGAGCACCACCCGCGCGCCACTGCTGCTTCGCCACCACGATTGTCAGCACCTCCGACCTCCATCTCCGCCCGGACGAATCGCCACCCGGACCGCCGCCATCTTCGTCTTGCTCGGGGCCACCACCACGCTGCGAGCGCCGACCCCGCGCGCGGCCAAGCCGGCCCGCACGACGCCTGTCGGCGGAAGTGGAGCTGCTGCCTCGGGCGGTAGCCGAGTGGTGGAGCGAAGACGGCGGCTGCATCTGGCTCGCGCCGCCGCCGCCGCCTGCCATTGCTCTTGCTCCCGCCATCGAGGTAACCGCACGCACAAAAGTGTTTGATCTAGTACAAACAATGATGAGTGATATACAATAATCTGCGAGTTGATTAATTAACCAAGCCTAGCTTGATTGATGCAGGAAATCAAAGAGAGAGCCTAATGTGCCTATGCCGCATGTGCAATTAACATGGGATGTTGAGCCTAATATGCAATTAACACCAGCAGCGGCTCGCTCTGGTATGAGCTTGCCTACGCCGAGGCCAAGGGGCGCGTCCATCGCGGCCACCGTGTCTGGCAGATCGGCTTCGGCTCAGGCTTCAAGTGCAACAGTGCCGACTGGCGCACACTCCGCGACGTGCCGCCTGTGTCCGCCTTCGTCACGGCGGCGTCGCCCATGGCCTTGCTCGGCGGCTTGTTCGCCACCGGCGTCACCCGATGCTGTCGCCGTCCGCCACGCTGCCTCCCCATCCACCCGACGCCGTCAGGCCGCCGCCGTCGCCTCGGCCCGCGCCGCTACGGCCGGTCTCTTGGCTCGCGCGCCTGCCATCCCGCTCAGGCGCGCACGCGCGTGGGGAAAAAGGGAAACGAGAGGGAGAGATCGAGAGGAGAAGAAGCCGAGAGAGAAGAAAAAGAAGAGGAGGGGGACACTATCAAGTGGGCCCCACATAACCTTATTATCTCTTGCGCAGGGGTATTTACGTCCGACCACATTAAAAAAGGGCCTCCCGTCCGCCACGTCAGCACGACAGATGGCACGGTGTCCATAGGCAAATGTCCACGGTTATGGGATGTCTTCCCCCAAAACTTTACTTTCAGAGACCCTGAGCTAAAACCACACAATTACGATGTCCGATAGCAAAATTTACCTATAAATTACTACGTATTACGCCATGTCATCAAACAAAACCGTACCATCTGATTTTTTTTCCTCTAGAGGTCTCTAGCAGGCTTCCGGTCTATAATCTTTTTCTGAACTTGTGCTATTTCCAATAAACTACTGTACTATCTAGCGACAGGCCATAGCATGTGCTCAGAGCATATTGTGCAACATCGAACGTTTGAACATATATAACGGAGTATTAAATATTAAAAAAAAATAATTACACAGTTTGAGTGTAAATTGCGAGACGAATCATTTAAGCCTTAATGCGCCATGATCTAAAAAATGTAGTGCTATAGTAAACATTTACTAATGACAGATTAATTAGGGTTAATAAATTTGTCTCGCAGTTTACATGCGGATTATATAATTTGTTTTGTTATTAGTCTACGTTTAATACTTTAAATGTGTATCCGTATATCTGATGTGACCTGGCAATTTTTTTTACCGGTGGAACTAAACACAGCCATACTACTACTCCCTCCGTCCCAAAATAAGTGCAGTTTTGCACTATTCACGTTCAAAGTTTGACCGTTCGTCTTATTTGAAAATTTTTTATGATTAGTATTTTTATTGCTATGAGATGATAAAACATAAATAGTAATTTATGTGTGACTAAATATTTTTAAATTTTTTATAAATTTTTTATATAAGACAGACGGTCAAACGTTGTGCACAGATATTTACGGCTATACTTATTTTGGGACGGAGGTAGTACTTGATTTTATTTGGGGATTTTGTGTCATAGCTGCCCCACATATGATGAGCTGGCGTGGGACAACAATACATCCTTTCTAGAGCGCACATCGGCAAGGTCTGGTCTAATTCCCATCTATTGAAACCACTTGTGAAGAGAACCACAAGCTCTTCTCGATGGCCCGCTAATAATACAAACAGGTTATGTCAGTGCTTATAGTCGCGCAAAGCGTGTCTGAGTGGCTAGTTAGGCGGTGGAAGAAAAAAACCTAGCCCAAGACCCATGCATGTAAAGAAAAAAGAAAAAAAACCTGAGAAGAGAAGTATGCGAAAAAGGAAAGAAGCTCATGATCAATTATGTACTTAGGTTGTTTTAAGTATTTCTATGTTAGTTGGATTACGCACATCCACTAGATATGCCACTAGACCATATTAGTTGAGACAAGAGTGCTTATATTTGTAGATAGAGAGAGCTATTTCTTTTTCCTGTGGTTCGTACATGATCATGGATAATTTAGTATTTGCATGATTAAAAGCACGTCACCAGCCGACGCAGATGTGATGGATAATTCAAGATAACGAGTTAACGACGCAATAAAGGTACCATAACCCAGAGCATCGCATTATACACCATTCGTTCTAAAATAAATCAATCTAGAATTAAAATATAAAGTTAGATAGTATCCCATCCAACTCTAAATTGATTTATTTCAGAACGGAAGGAATAGTCCATTGCAAAAATTTTCGAATGCATTCGTCGGAGGTTTGAGAAAGATAGTGGTGCTACTGTGCTAGTATTCTTCACTGAATCATAGTACAAGTGTACAACACAAGATAAGGTTTTAATATGCCAATGGCCAAGTTTTTTTTTTTTTTAGAGAGAGTACCAATGGCAAACTGGTCAGACTTGCCATAGCCAAGTCCATATTACAACACAAGAAAACACCATATTGGGCATTGCCCATTGGGCCATTTTTGCTTGAAGAGCCCAGAGAGGAGTTTTTCATATATATATGGAAAAAGTAAGAGTTACCCCCTGAACAATTGCGACAGTATGAATTACCCCCCCCCCCTTAAACCATAAAACCAGACATATTACACCCTCAACTATTCATACCAGACATATAACCCCCCTCACACTGTTTTTGACCGGTTTTGACTTCAACTTGTACACGTTGCGTCAACGTGGCAATCCAGTCAGAAAAAAAGTAACCGTTGGGGCCTACCTGTCATAACCCTTCATCAACCCAATCCTCTCTCTCTCTGTCTCGCAC